TGGAATAAGATGGCTGGTGATGGAAATCCTTACTAGCTTTGGAATTTAATAATTAGAAGTAAATATAAAGATGTATTCAATATCCTGCATTGTGAGAAAATCCTTTGTTTTTTTGTTTCTGAGTATTCACTTTACCTACCTGAATCTCAAGTTCTTCCTTCAGCTATGACTTGGGAATAATAATATCTTCCTGGCTTCCCCATAGGGTTATAGGAAAAAGCATTTTATGACCCTCAGAAAGTTAGAGATGTAAGAGACCATTAGTTTAAGCTTTTATCTTTAAAACTTCTTATACAACTTGCATAATGGAAATGTATATTATAGGTGTTGTTGGAGAAAAGATGTATCATGAGAGATAATTAAAAATGAATCTTAACGAAGAATGGGATGGGAGAGGGAGTGGGAGATGGGATGGTTTGCGGGTGGGAGGGAGATTATGGGAGAAAAACTGCTATAATCTAAAAGTTGTACTTTCGAAATTTATATTTATTAAATAAAAGTTTTCTTTAAAAAATGTATCATGAAGGAAATAACTTGAAGATGTGATATTTTAATGGGAACTTATTTTCACTATGCCAAAATATACTTCACTTTTCTTCTAACACTCTGTGCCCTACACTTAGGTTTAATCTTTATTTTTCACTGGTTCCCAAACTGTCCTACTGTGTTATTTCATCCTTCCCCATAACAGGGGTAAAAAGTTGGAGCCCTCCCTGTCCAGTTGTGCAAACCAATTTTAATGATTATGTTGGAAGAAGTATGCCTTGGTGACCCCACCTCACATAGTCCTTGTTGCCATGGGGGCACAGAGTATTTCCAAATATTAGAACTCCTAAGCTCCTCTCTTCTTCCATTCTCCATGTGGCCTCTAAGTCACCAAGTCCTATGGGAGGTGTCTCCCAAATATTTCTTAAATCAATCCTTTAATACAAATCATAATAGTCTTCTTCCCAAATCATGAAAGTGTCCAACTGACTGGCCTCTTCACTTAAGCCTGTGCTGCCACTCCTACTCTCCCCTCTACCTAAACATACTTCTACTCAGTGTGCTGGAGTATTCTTGCCAAAACGTCCATCTCTACGAATCAGCTCCATATTTTGACTTTTGGTGGCATCCATTCTCAATTGGAAGGCCCAATATTGTCTTGACACAACAAATAAAGCTTTCTGGATCTAATGCCTCTTCATTTCTACACCCTCTCCACCCACACTTATTATCCAGCAGTACTGAATGACACCATCTCTCTTTTAAAGCTCTGTGCCTTTTTATGATTCCATCTAACTGTAATTACCCTTCCTCTATGGTTTTCCATCTGAAAAAAATCCCATTCATACTTTAAAATTCTGTTCCTGAGTCCTCCTTCCTTTGATGGCTCTTTCAGATCTTCCTGAAAATAAACTACTCTATCGAACAGGACATGCTTTCATTATGATATATATTATACCAAATTATAATTATCTGTTAGAAAAATTTGTTACCCCTTCTAGGCTATGAGCTTTCCAAGGGCGAGAATTATGTCTTATTAATCTTTGGGTCTCAAGAAACTAGTAGAATATCTGCCTAATGATAGCTACTTGATAAATATTTTTAAGTAAATGAATTGGACAGATTCTTACAAGTGAAAACAACATGTGTCCCATATAACACATGGAACTGAACTCTAGTAAAGGAGATATCTACAAGGCTTATTATTTATTTATCATTGTAAGCTCTTTTCACTCTTTTGACATCTATATAATGCTCTGGAAAATTCTACGGTTGTAAGCATCTCATCTAAATAAAGGAGCACAGAAACTGGCCAAGTTAGGCTTGCTAGTGAGCCCCATGCTTTGTGACATGTATGAGTGTCATTACAGACAGGTTATTTTTCCCTTCACCTTGTCTGTATGACTTTGGGCAATTGCTGTTATAGTGAAACTCATAGAAAGCAGAGCTCCTTGACAATTTTCATTATTTTAAGGCAAAACTGTTCTCAGTAAATGCACTCAATCCTTCTCCTACCAAAGGTTGTGTTCTTCTCTCTTTCTAAGGCAAAAAGAATGTAGTCAAGCATTACAATGCTGCTGCTCCTGATTTAATTGGAAACCCAGGAGCCCACTATCGTGTTTCTGCCTATTGGATTCACGAGCTTATTTTATCTAAGAGTCCCTCTATTGAGCCAACATAATCTATAAAAACTATTATGAGTGTGATCAATGGGTAATGAGTGACTATTCTTAATTTTATCTAACAAGGTAGCTTCCCAGGAAACTCTGGAGGTAAGATGAGAAGTGTAATATTTTTCCTTTAATATTTTTAAGTATATTCTATACCTCCTATTATTTCATAGTACTGGGTTTTTACTTCTTTTCCTCATAAGGTACATATTTTACCTAGAAGTAAGAAATAATACCTATTATATAATAAATGATGGTTCATTTGTGAGTTAATTAACTAAAAATGGTGATGACTAGACCAAAAAAGTTGAGATCAATGTAGTTTTCATCTTTTTCGACTGCAGTTTCATGAGATATGATTTAGCTTAGCTTTAAAAGTGTGTTGTAAATTATAATAAATATAAGTTAATTTCTCTCATTTCATAGAATTCCTCAAGCTAATACAATTTGAATGTTATTTTCTTATGATTCAGATTATAGAAATATAATTGAAAATCCATTTCATAGAAAGCAAATTTAGCTCTTTTTTCTCTTTTCTCTCTTTCCTATTTTTTCCTCTTTCATTCATTTATTCAATAAATACTCCCTGGCTATATCATTTATTGATTGGATTTTACTAAGCTCTAGGCCAAATTTAAAATTTGTGAGGTTACTGTCTTCAAAACCCTTGAAGAGAGACACATAAAAAGATTAACTAAGAAAGGAGATGTCACCACAGTGTCAAATGAGTAGTACAGACAGTGAGTGCTGTGGGTTTAGATGCCAGTCTTTACCTCACTGACATTTTCAATCAGAGCTCCCCAGTCTACCATCCTTTGTGATTTATTTTTAATGGTTCTTTTCATCTTGTTCCAGCATATAGACAGATACAGGAACACATCAGAAGTTCTATTCCCTATCTCTCATGGCTTCTACTCCAATGCTCAGCCCTTGAAAGAAAAATTGGAAGCTATATCCAAAGTATTTTGTGAATGTCAGGTTATTATCTACCCACTTCCTCTGGAGTATATGAGATGGGCTTATAGGAATTAGGAAAGGGGCGATTTTCTCCAGATCTATATATCAACTAGCATATTGAAAGTCATAATAGGAGAATACCTTAACCATGTTCAGCAGTGAACTGCTACCTAGTTGAGGAAGCTTCATTAATAACTCTACTCCTTTCCAACTATTATTTAGGTCAGACCCTGATTGTGAATGCAAGTGCTATCTTCTCCTGATTACATAAGCTAAGATGGTTCTATGCCTTTTTTTTCCCTTCCTGGCAATGGGAAAATAATACTTCAGACATAGAAGCAACTGGTGAGGCTCCTTGACCAACTAACCAATATCCTGTTCCACTCCATAGTTTTCCCAGTACCCTTGGGTGAGTCATTCTGCACTCAACCATTACCTTTCAACCAATCTTCTGTAGTAGCTGTGTGAAATTGATTCCCAAGGAATCAGCTTCTCTGATGTTCATCTTTTTCTTTCTACCCCTATGGCTATGGTGTCCACCTTTTTCTTTCTACCTCTATGGCTATAATGACTACTTTGTGTTTTCATTGCTTTGTTGCTGTTGTATTACAGTGTAAGCATCTGCAGGGAAGGAACTGTCAATTGATGCCTGTGGTACCTTCAAAGCTTAGTATGGTTCCTGGGTGATAGAAAGCACTCAACATTTGTTGAGTGAATGCTTAGCATTGAGAGAACTGCATTGCACACTATGGAAGTTGAGAGGAAAAACACCAATCCCAGAAAATCACAGAGTTGGATAAAATTATAGAGGAAGACACATTAAAAAAGTAAGACCTGAAGGGTTACTGCAAGTTAGCAAGGCATAGTAGGGAGAGGGCAATCCAGTCAGATAAGGAGCATGGACAGATGCCCAATGGTGCTCATCAAAACACAGACAATATTATGCCTGCAACTAAGCCTTTGTTAACAGTGACCAGGACTCAAAATGGAAGTCATAGCAGTATACATATGTACATATATGTGTACATGTATGTTTGTGTGTATGAGAAGTCACTTTCATTTTTAAAGGTTTAATTAGATATAATTAAAAAATCATCTCCATTAACCTATAGAGCCCTTGATATTTAGCCCCAAAGACTCAACAAAGCTTAACAACATTTCCATTAACTTTCTCATTTTTTCTTATTTTTCCAAAGCTACATTGTAATTTTTGTCCCCTTTTTTATTCTTTGTCTTAACTGTTGGAATTTTAACATAATTTCTCAAATAGTTCCACTACAGGAGTGTAGTATGGTTAAGGAGAGAGATCTGAACCCTAACATCTTGCATAAAATTATTATGTATTGAAAACTATTGCAAGTTTCACTCAATTTAGAAATGAACATTCAGAAAATTGCCTGTTTCTAAATTGAGGTTTGAATGTCCAAGGAACAAATCGCAGCACAATGAGATAGAAGCCACACTGGTTTAAAATTCAGTTGTCTATACCCTTAGTTCACCATGCTCATGAGATCTCAGTCTCATTATCTGCTCAATGGGCACATAATATCTGCTTGACAAAACTGAAAGAGGAGTATTATATGAAATAAATCTTCTAATGGACAGTAGATAGTCATATTTACATAGGCCATAAGGTCATTTGCTATTATAGTAATTTTTAGGTTGGAAAATAAACAGTTTATACACCTTCTAACAACTAAACATTATATATAGAAAGAGATATGTTTAGCAACTTAGCTTAGTGCAACAAAGCTGTTTTTACATACCCTGTTTTAAATTATTTCACTCTATGTTTGTGGCAGAAATATAGCAAATATGCATACATAAAATGTTTGTTTGCCTAATTAGCATGAGGATAATGCACATTGTAACCATTTTGTCTCATAGAATGATTGAAGATAGTGGGAAAAGAGGAAATACCATGGCAGAAAGAAGACAGCTGTTTGCAGAGATGAGTAAGTACAGAACTTTTAAGGAACAGCCTGTAGTTTCTCAATGAATACTCAGGGAAAGAGACAACTACTTCATTTTTATGGTATTTGTGCTTTTCCTTAAAATCCTAAATTCCTTGTGTAACAAGTGCATTTGTCCATTTTTGTCTCCTATTAGGTAAGAGTTAAATTATTCAGTACGTTGTAATTGATTTCTAAGCTGTTAATAAGCTTAAATAAAAAATGGATGGATGGATGGATGGATGGATGGAAAGGAAGGGAAGGGAAGGGGGAGAGGGAGGGAAGAGGGAGGGAGAAGGAAGGGAATGGGGAGGGGAAGGGAGATATCCACGCAGAGACATTGTGAAATACTCTCTAGACTGCTCATCCCCTTTCAATGTCACAGTGTCTGGCATATTGTAGGCACCCGACAAAATCTGTGAACTGAATCATCAGCTGCCTTCCCTGCAAAATGCTGTCCTACATTCATATGAGAAAGAGGACTTAGGCATAAACCAAACTGTCATGGGAAGTGACCAATCGAGGCTAATGTCACCAGCAGTAAGAAGAATTTGCCAGAGCAACAGAACATGGAGAGCAGTGAGCAAAGTTAAATTTATTAAAATACACTGCAAGGGAGCAGCAAGCGAGCAGGTCAGGTAGGATCTGACTACTGCTGCAACATGGATTATAATCTGGGAGATATATGTATCTGTGGCAGATGGCCTCTGGTTAGTGGCTTTTCTGTCACTAGAGATTTTCTTATTCCTGGGTTGTTTTTTTTTTTTTTAAGATTTATTTATTTATTTGAAAGGCAGATTTGCAGAGAGGGAGAGAAATGTCCTCCATCCTCTGGTTCACTCCCCTGATGGCCTCAACGGCTGGAGCTGGGCTGATCTGAAGCCAGGAGCCAGGAGCTTCTTCCGGGTCTCCCACGTGGGAGCAGGGGCTCAAGGACTTGGGCCATCTTCTACTGCTTTCCCAGGCCATAGCAGAGAGCTGGATCGGAAGTGGAACAGCCAGGACTCAAACCAGTGCCCATATTGGATGCCAGCACTGAAGGCAGCGGCTTTAACCCACTGTGCCGCAGTGCTGGCTCCATTCTGGGGTTTTTGAATAGGGAATTTTCTTACTGCCAGGAGGCCTGGTGACCTTCCTACATTTAGACCTCATGTAGAGGGGGAGAATCAGTCCTACAAACCAGTTTGTTTTTTTTTTTTTTTTAAGATTACAAAGTAAAAAAAAAGATAAAAGGAGCTTGGAGGTGACTTGCTATCCAATGGAAATCAAACCAAGATTATATTTACCAACTCCAGTGGAGGAGTTATTAAATAAAGATGATAGGTTTAGGTTAAGTGCAGGGTTGCTCTATAATTAGTTGGAAATGTCTCCCTTATAGACTGCTTCTTATTTATCAAGAAAAAGAACTCAACATGAGGGTGGAGGAGAAACACACATCTCAAATTAAATGTTATAAAGAAAAAAAGCACAATTTTCTTATGTTCCTTTTATCTCTCTTTCTCACATAGGAATGAGCAGGATTGAGTTGTAACCCTTTTCCCCTGAGAAAGCAGTAGACAAAATGAGCTTTCTACTGCAGACTGGAAATGATTGGCAAGAATGAGGGTCACAGCAGATAAAGGAAAGTTCCAGATAATAAGATTCATATTTTCTTTTATCATTTTCCAATAATCTAATGGTACCAAGACAGTGTTAGAACTAACATGAGGAGAGAAAAGTGAAAGAGGTGTAGGGAATCTCAATCATGCTCCTTGCACTTGCCGCTTAGATGTGTCTAAGGTGTTTGTGAGAGTTTTAGCCAAGACCTACAGTTTTGCTAGGCCATGCTTGCAGCTGGCTTCAGTCATGGAATGCACACCTAGAATTGTGACATTTTTTGTAGATCCAGATCTACCAGAGCAAGTAGCTTAGGTACTGCCTGCCGAAGCTTGTGTTAGACTGGAGGAGTCAGTTTTAGTGACTTAATACTCTGAATCATAACCACAATTTGTGATAATGGATTGTATATCACAAAAGTGCTAAAAGAATGAATTTATAACACTCACCACAAAAAATCATAGGTTGATGAAATGATATATAGGTTGATTCATTTGATCAAGGCTTCCTCCAATGTATATACATAGATCAAAACAATAGATTTTACTGTATAAATGTATAGGATTATTATTTGTCAATTTAAAAAATAAATATTCTAAAAGGAAAAAATTGGGGATAGTACAAAAATAGTGGGAAATAATAAAGGAACAAGGCATTGTCAGGAAATAACTCATTTACTGCTTACCCATCTAAAAAAATATCCAAAGCAGGGCCTATATCAACAAGGTAAGAGTGCATCATGAACCAGTGTCCCATCACAGACAGGAAAAAATTAATATTTACCATAAAAAATAGTAAAATCTGGGGGGAACCTTTGAACTTATCATTGTAAAACTTAAGACTAACAGCCAACACTCTTTAAGAATTATTTTTAAAAAGTATTTATTTATTAACTTTGTCAATATTTATCTTGAATTTAAGCATCTGAGTTTTTTCTGCACTTCATATAGGTGTAAACATATATATACACACACATGCACATACATACATATATACATAGATGCATACATACATAACACATACATACATACATATGTACATACATATATACGTGCATATATATATGCAAATGTCTATTGAATTAAAACTGACCAACTCAGGAAAGCTCACCATAACTCTATATTTTTCTTTAAGAGAGAATGAAGAAAATTGTGCATTCTTTTCCCAAATTGTAAACTTATCTTTTCATTGAAACTTCACAGGGTGTCATTCAGGTTCATTAAATGATTTTATGAGATCTCTTGATTAGTGATCAGGATATTTAATTAAGCAAGCCAAACAAATAAGAGTCTGTCTTCACTAAACATGCTGAAGACTCAGATGTTGGCCGGAAACACCTAAAAGCATCTCAAGTTAACAAGCCATCAGTTTGGGCAAGGTGTTTAGCACTAAATAAGACACATCTAAAGAATTCTACTGGATAAAACAATTGGCTGGTTTCCTCAGAAAGTAATTGATTGTGATAGGCAGATTGTCATACAAAAGAAAAAGAATATTTCACTGACAGTATGTTAAATGGCTGGAAAAACATGGGTTATCCTAACCATCATCAAGACACCAGAGAAAAAGAAGCTATTATCAAAGTATTGAGGTGAGCTAGTGAGAAAGGATTGGAAGACTTTAGAGGGCTGAGGATTGGGGGTTGGTCAATGTGATAGGCCTTCCTAATGTTTGCTTATTGTCACTATTAAAAAGTTAGGCTGGCCGGCGCCGCGGCTCAATAGGCTAATCCTCCGCCTAGCGGCGCCGGCACACCGGGTTCTAGTCCCGGTCGGGGCGCCGGATTCTGTCCCGGTTGCCCCTCTTCCAGGCCAGCCCTCTGCTGTGGCCAGGGAGTGCAGTGGAGGATGGCCCAGGTGCTTGGGCCCTGCACCCCGCTCGGAAGAACAGGAAGAGCAACTTGCTTCTGGCCTCTCGGCATCAGTACCATCGCGCGGCCGCAGCCGACAATTTGCAGGGTCGAACCAACCGATAAGAAGGAGGACTTTTCTCGTCAGGCTCTCTCTCTTCACTGTCCACTCTGCCTGTCAAAAAAAAAAAAAAAAAAAAAAAAAAAAAAAAAGTTAGGCTCCTACCCTTCCACAGTACTGGGAAGTAGGAGTGCTATCTCCTTCAATGGTTATCTTTCTTTCTTTTTTTTTTTTTTTTTTTTTGTAGTAGGTTTTGTTTTGTTTTGTTTTGTTTTGTTTTGTTTTTTGATAGGCAGAGTGGACAGTGCGAGAGAGACAGAGAGAAAGGTCTTCCTTTGCAGTTGGTTCACCCTCCAATGGCTGCCGCGGCCGGCGCATCACGCTGATCCGAAGCCAGGAGCGAGGTGCTTCTCCTGGTCTCTCATGTGGGTGCAGGGCCCAAGCACTTGGGCCATCCTCCACTGCACTCCCAGGCCACAGCAGAGAGCTGAACCGGAAGAGGGGTAACTGGGACTAGAACCCGGTGTACCAGCACCACAAGGTGGAGGATTAGCCTATTGAGCCAAGGCGCCAGCCTTCAATGGTTATCTTTCAAAGGGCTGGCTCTAAGGTCCTAGAGAAGGACATTCCTGGATTGTAAAACTGACAAAAACACTAGATTTACATCTCAAAGGAATAAACAAAGAATTTACAATGGAAAGTTTTCTAAAGTGAATACTCTAAGAGAAGGGAGGTCAGAAGCCTGGAGGCAGGAAGAAGCCTGAGGGGAATTGAGGGGAATGTTAAGGCCATCTTGGTCTTAAAAAGGCTGGGATTAAAAACAAAAACTGATAAGAAAGTCTTTCAAATCCTGGTGCTTGCAGAACACACTCCTGTGTGTTAAACATTTAAAATGGGCTTATTACCACAAGGAGCAGAAACAGGAAGAAGCAGCAAGGAAATGAAACTAAGAATAGCCCAAAAGACTAGCCTGATAGAAAAGGAGAAAACTTGGAAGTGTCACTGGAGAAAAGGCCGTGGAAGCCATGGGATTCTTGTCTTCATGCAAGAAAGAATTCAGTTGTGAGACAGAGATTGAAGTGATAAGGATTCTTTGGGGATAGGGCACCAGTCAGAATGGAAGGGACAGAGAGAGTGCCCAGTCACTTTGGGAGAGCGAGGTTACATGGTTGAATGGAAAAAATACACCTGGCAGACCAGGCTGGCAGCTCAGCTTAGAGGCAGAGAGCTGAGCATGCAGTCTATCTGGACTCCCTAGGTTTTTAAGGGAATTTATTTACCCTCTTTACCCTCTCTTCCAGGACAAAGGATGGGGAGTCCTACCTGAAGGGTTTGTTGGGTGAAAATTAGCAAATTCCTCCCCAGATTTTCTGGCACCAGGGCAGAGTAGAGGGGCTTCCCTTAGGGCATCTCTGAAGATTTTATTGTTCCATGTTATCATGTAACCCATTTGGTCCTGAGGAGAGAGAATTCTCCTGGGAGCTTTCCTAGAGGGAA